TTAAAAATATAAAAATTAGCTGGACATGGTGGTGCATGCCTGTAATCCCAGCTACTCTAGAGGCTGAGGCAGGAGAACTGCTTGAGCCTGGGAGGCAGAGGCTTCAGTGAGCAATCTTCAGAGATTGCACCACTGCACTCTAGCCTGAGTGACAGAGCAAGACTTTGTCTCAAAGAAAAGTTTAAAAAATTTATCTACAGGGAATTTTCTCCTATTTTGGGGGAGAACATTGACATACTGAAACAATTTCAGAGAAAAATTGATTCCCTGCTGGGCATGGTGGCTCACACCTGTAATCCCACTGCTTTAAGAGGCCGACATGGGTGGATTGGTTGAGCCCAGGAGTTCAAGACCAGCCTGGGCGACATGGTGAAACCCCATCTTTACAAAAAGTAGGAAAATTAGCGGGTATGGTGATACGTGCCTATGGTACCAGCTACTCTGGAGACTGAGGTGGAAGGATCACCTGAGCCTGGAAGGCTAAGGCTACAAGTGAGCCATGATTGTGCCACTTCCCTTTAGCCTGGGTAACAGAGTGAGACCCTGTCTCCAGAAAAAAAAAAAAGTACAACAAAGTTGATAATTGATTTATAAGTTGCGTGACACTTACATGATATTGGGTCAGGTAGTTAGGGAAGGAAGATGCCAGGCCATCAGAAAAGCCCTCTGGAAGAAGCTGTCGCTGGGGCTTAGTTTGCAGTTCGTTCAGCGAGGGAGAAGAGAAGGAAGGGGAGGAAGAATGCCATACGCAAAGACTGGATGAGACAGATGCTGGGCACTGGCTTGTGTGAAGTAAAAGGCACGTATATGGGAGCAGAGACACATCTTAGATAATGTAGGACCAGGCAATAGAGGGAGTAGATGCACAGGCAATGGGATGTCATCCTGAGTTCCTCATTGGGAAAGACTGTGTTTATTAAAGATGATGATTCTGAAAGTAATGTGCAAGGTATTCTTGGAGAAGGAGATAGTGATGTTAGAAGGACCAGGAAGGGCGCTGTTGTGATAACACAGGTTTAGGGTGATGAGGATCTGGACTAGAGCAGAGCCCTGGACGGTAAATGACTGGGAAGCCAGTGAGGGTGATGGGAGAGGGAGAGAAGAGCAGAGGAGTGGGTGGTAGAAATAGCAGAAGTGGAAAAATTGGGAAAGTTTGGGGTTGCGATGTCTTGATTTCTCGGTGAAGGGGACATCTGAATGGTGATGTTTGTCTTACAGCTTTCTTAAAGTATAATTGACAAACTGCACATAGGTAAAGCAGCAATTTGATAACTTTGACTATCAATCAAGAGAATGAACTATCCATCACCCCCAAAATTTCTTCTGCCTTTTCGTAAGCCCCCATCCCCAGGCAGTCACTGATCAGTCACTGATCTGTCATAGTATAGTTTTATTGAACTTTACACAACTGTATTATGCAGTACTTTTTTGTCTTGTATTCAGCATAATTACTTTGAGTTTATCCACATTGTCGCATGTATCATTTCTTTTCATTGCTTAGTTTTATTGTACAGGTGACATATTTTGATGATTTTTCTTTTTGCTGGAGGGAATGGCGTCTCACTCTGTCACCCAGGGTGGAGTGCAGTGGCACGATCTCAACCTCTGCCTCCCAGGTTCAAGCAATTCTACTGCCTCAGCCTCCTGAGTACCTGGGATTACAGGTGTACTCCACCACTCCTGGCTATTTTTGTATTTTTAGTAGAGATGTTGTTTCACTTGGTTGGCCAGGCTGGTCTTGAACTCCTGACCTCAAGTGACTGCCCACCTCGGCCTCCCATTGTGTTGGGATTACAGGCGTGAGCCACTGCACCTGGCCAATATTTTGATCATTTGATGTCAGGAGTGGAATTCAGGGGATGTGACAGGGCATGGCCTGGGTCAGCACCCTTAGTCTGGCTGAAGCTTCAAGGGTAGACAGGCTGTCTAGCAGAAAGATTCAAGGCAGGGAGTGGAGGTAGGGGTTAGTGCAGAGGCAGAAGAGACAGCTGAAGAACAACCACCATTTTCTGTGAAAGCAGATTTCAGACATCTTGAAAGTATAGTCAGTTTTATTTTCAGAGAGCTCTTGAAGGTCAGCAAATTCAGAGTTTAAGAAACGTGTTTTGTTTCATTTAATAAATTAGTTTTAATTAGCATACTTTCTATGCCAGTGTCATCCTAAAACATATTGTTATGTCTTTTTAGGCCATGGGAGAGAAATCCTTTTCTGTTCATAATAATGATGGGGCAGTGTCATTTCAGGTATGTATGTTCTTTGTGTAAAGCCTCATGGAATTTCTCTCTACCATATAAAAGGGTAATTTTTTTTTTAGAAGAATTTTGAATTTAGGAATAACAACTTAGGTATACCCTGTATCAGTCACTTAAATGCAATAGCTCTCTCTATAACAAGCTCACAAAGGTGGATATGGTTACCTGTCTACTTATCAAATAATAAGTCTCTGAGAATAAATAACTTTGTGACTATGTAGTGTAGGTGACAAGGTCAGTTTCCAGCCCAGTCCTGCCTGGCTGTTCCTGTGACCCCTATGTCCTGACCCAGTGCCACCTCCCATTCAAAGTGTGCCAGAAGCATAGTGCTCCATGCCTGAAAGGACCGTTGGTTATAATTTCGGGTGATGTTGTAATTTTAGAGATGATTTCACTGAGACTTGGAGGCTTTGAGTGACCTGCTCAACTGTCACAGTTATTAATTGCCCATGAGTGTTCAGTGGCAGCACAATAGCATATGTATGGGAACAAGATACTGGACTGGGTCTCCGAACCCACTAGCTGGGTGATGTTGGATAACTCACCTGATTTCTTTTGGTTTTCGTTTTGAGACATGGTCTCACTCTGTTGCCCAGGCTGGAGTGCAGTGATACAATTATGGCTCACTGCAGTCTCAACCTTCCAGGCTCAGGTGATCCTCAGCCTCCCAAGTAGCTGGGACTACAGGCGTAGACCAGCATGCCTGGCTAATTTTTAAATTTTTGTAGAGATGAGGACTTGCTCTGTTGCCCAGGCTGGTCTCGAACTCCTGGGATCAAGCAGTCCTCTTGACTGGGCCTCAGTCAAGATGCTGGGATGACAGATGGGAGCCACCCTGCCTAGTCTCACTTTCTGAACCTCTCTGTTTAATCATCTAAAAAATGGCAGGGCATGGTGTCTCACGCCTATAATCCTAGCACTTTGGGAGGCTGAGGTAGGTGTTTGAGACCAGCCTGGGCAACATGGTGAAACACTGTCTCTACAAAAAATACAAAAATTAGCCAGGAATGGTGGTACATGCTTATAGTCCCAGCTACAAGGAAGGCTGAGGAGGGAGGTTCACTTGAGCTCAGGAGTTCAAGACTAGCTTGGAAAATATGGTGGAACTTTGTCTCTACAAAAAAAGAAAAAAAAATTAGCCAGGTGTGGTGCTGCATGCCTGTAGTCCCAGCCACTAGGGAGGCTGAGGCAGGAGGATTATTTGAGCCTGGGAAGTCAAGATTCACACAGTGAACCCTGAACATGCCACTGCACTGCAGCTTGGGTGACAGTGAGACCCTGTCTCAAAAATAAAAAAAGAAAAAAAAATGCCTGCAGTGAAATGCACAGGTCTTGTCTTAAGTGTACAGTTTGTTCAATTCTGACAAATGCATGTACCCATGTAATTCACTCTCTATCAAGATTTCTGTTTCCAACTACTGAGAAAGCCCCTCCGTCCCCACAAACACTATTCTGATTTCTTTTACCGTAGATCATTTTGCCTCTTCAACAATTTTTGTATGTTCTTTAAGCTTAGTAACCATCATTTCATCACTATCCATATTAAAAGCTAACAGTTACTGAGAACATGCAGGGTGCTCATTTGCTCAGAACCCTCCAACAGCCTTCCATCTGTCTTGGAGCAAAGCCCAAGTCTTCCCACTGGTCTGCAAGGCCCATGTGGTCCAGCCCCTGTTGTCTGTCTGACCTCAGCTCCTGTTATTCACACTCTGCTCTCCCACACAGGCCGCTTTGCTCTTTCTCAGACAGATCAACCTTTAGGCTCTGCTCTAGCTGTTCCTACAGGCAGGAATGCTGTCTCTCAGAATTCCACAAGTCTTTGCTGAAATGTCACCTTCTCAACAAAGCTTCTCTTGATTGCAGCTCACTCCTGTTTCCCTCATTGTGCTCTGGTTTTCCTTAGCGTTATCCCTTCCAACAGGCCATTTGCTGTACTGACTTACATTTATTGTCTGTCTCCCCCTCTACAGAAAGTACCTTAGGGGTGGGGTTTTCTCTCTCTTATTGTTGTGTCTGAAACTCCTATCTTGGCCTATATTTACAGAGACTGATGAACCAATGCTAGGCATTGTGCTAAGTACTTATATGTCATTATCTCAGATCACCCTTTCAACAACTCTGTGAAGTTGGTACTGTTACATTTTCTCTTTTACTGATGAGGAACTGAGGCTCAGAGAGGTAATGTAACTTGCCCCATGCGGGGGATTCAGGTCCATATTTGTTTGACTCCAAGGCCCATGTGTTTAACCACTTTACCTTTTACTGCCTCCTTGAGAAAATACAAAAGGTCCTTTTCTCTCGTCCCTCTCTCACCTTAAAATGCTTGTTAATAAAATGAGTTTTTAAAATGCTCCCCCCTTTAATCACAAAGGAAAGTGTGATAGGATGCACACATGTCAGGCTAGTCCTTTGTGTTGGGTGAGCATCCAGGCACAGCAGTCTGCGTGGTGATGAGGAACACATGCCAAGACAGCCCATCCGCACGGTTCTTGGGATGCGAGGAGCAGGCCATGGATGGGTGGTTTGCTTTTCTCTGGCTTTCCCCCACCTTGGAAAGAAGTCGTCGTGATTTCTCGCTGTTCTACCCAGTCTCCCCGTCTTGGCCAGTGCAGTCCATTCTGAGCTCTTCTGCTTCATTCATGGCATGGGGATAGTGGTTTATCTACCTAAATGCAGCAAGGGGACTGTCAGGCCTTACTCCAACTCTTAGAGTTCACAGTTTTCTTCGTTTTTGTCTCTAAGGATCAGGTGCCTCCTCTGATCAACCATGGTGATTCTATTGATTTTTTAAAAATATTGTATCTTTTAAACTTATATATCTTTTTTAAACTTCCCCTGAATCTTACTTTTAGAATAGAAGTTGTCAATGTATTTAGGAAAGTTTCCTTATTCTGGCTAGCTCAGGGGACTAAAATACACATACACATTCACAACCACAGCTGAGTTTGGGACATGGTCTAACTGTTGGGATAATTCCAGCTCACCTGTTCTTGGTCTTTTATTTTTGCCAGATGTCTTTTTTCCTCCCATTCTTCTAAGTTGTGAGGTACAGTATACATGCAGAAGACCGTAAAGTACTTACATTTAGTTTACCAAGTTACTCTGAACAGTCACCTTTATGTGAGCACCTGAAAAACCTCGTGTCTCCCTCGCATTCCTTCCCAACTCTAGAGTAACCCCATCATGAAAAATCCTACTGTAGTCATTTCCTAGCTTTTCTTTGTAGTTTAATAGGTATATATATGTAGCCCTAAAAAGATATTTCAGGCAGATTTCTTTTTATTGTTAGAACTTATGGCTGAAGTAAAATTTTCTTGGGCTTGACCAAGAAGTCATATTCTCTGAGTCTGTCTGTCTTTTGGTTTACATTAAACTTTATCTAAAACTCATGAAATATATGAAAAACAGAAAACTGTCTAAATATAGAAAATATAGCTTTCGTTGTTGTTCTCTAAAACCATAGTTGTAAATGTTGATGAAATATTGGTTGTTTTCAAGTATGAGGTGAGCCTCTTTTTTAAGGAGTATTTTATGCCTATAAAGAGCAAAATAATACGTTAGCTTGAAGACTAGACAAATACGTCTTAGGTTGTCTTTGAAGACTTCTGCACAGACTTCTCTTTTTTTTTTTTTTTTTTTTTTTTTT